CGTACAAACAATTATGCACTGGAAATAAACAGTGCTTCAGAATTAGAGTCGTGATATGCATTTTATACAAATGCTTTACTTTTTTGTGGAGGCGCGCTGGCCTCCGGATCGAGCGGTCCGGGTTCGAGGCCTGGCCGGGAACATTGTGCTGTGTTCTTGGGCAATAAACTTTACTCTCATAGTTCCTCTCTCCGCCCAGGTGTATAAATGTCTATCGACGAATTTAATGCTCGGGGTAACCCTGCGATGGACTATACTCCTAGTCGCTTCATGCTAAACTGGAGATAAGAGCCGCCCTGATCAGCCACTCAGGTCGTATGCAGACTTAACCTTTTACCTTGCTTTTTTTTAGCTGGATCGTCACACAGTCACAGCCGTGCGCGTTACGCTTCACATAAAGATACATAAGCTTGTTATGAACCAAAGATAAAACAAACTTGGTGCAAAGTTGAAACCGATACGAAAAGATGGTTACAGTGAACCCTCTCTATGACGGACATACTTAGATCCATCTTACACAGAGTTCAATTAAGGACAAACACCTGAAATTTGGCAAGCAAACTATGTCCACCTTACGAACAGGTCCGAACTACAACGGAGATAGCCGACTGAAAGACGACGCAAAATACTTTAAAATCATTGCTATTCAATTCTGGTGGATAATATGCGAGTTCAATNACAGGTCCGAACTACAACGGAGATAGCCGACTGAAAGACGACGCAAAATACTTTAAAATCATTGCTATTCAATTCTGGTGGATAATATGCGAGTTCAATCCTCATTCACTGTTAATTTTTTAATAATTAGATTATGAGCTCGAGATTTCTATGAGGTGATAGTTGATGAGGCCGAGGCCCGATAGAAATCGAGAGCGAATAATCTAATTGTTTTAGCAGTAATCTAACTGCAATTCACGCAAATAACGGTTTCCAATTATTTTTCTACGCATTATTGAACTTCACGCTTTCACAAAATCGCACGTATGGCATTGTCCTTGGTAAATTTGCAGTTGTTTACGCGCGCACACCCGGTTTTTCAATAATTTCAAGTTTTTAAAGTAAAGAAACCGTTAATTTCCTTCTTTCAATCTTCTCAGGAATTTAACTATCTATTTACATCTAAACTTTCTTCCAAAACTTCGGAAAAACGATTAACTGTACTCTGATATAATGGCTGATAGTATGCCAGTAGCTCAGCCAATCAGATTGCAGCATTTGCATTAGTATACTAGTAGAATTCTACTAATAGGTGATGGAAGATTGAAATATTCGATATTCCGTTATAATTTTAAGCCAGTGCGGTATTTAATGATCATTATTAAAAACTAGATCATTGAATAATGCAACTCGAGATTTTCATTGGCTGAGCCATCACGGGATATGAGCCATTATACCATGCTCTACAAATGTGATAACCGTACGCGTAATTTTGGGGACGCGTTTTTATTTTCATTTTATTCAGTTTTTTTTTTTGTTTTTGTTTTTGTTTTTTTTCTGGGGACGTTTTTAATAAGACAATTATTCCACTCGCGCTTGTTGGATATGAGATGATTACAGCTAACTCGGCGCTACGCGCATCGTTGGCTCTTTACCATTTCATACCCAGCGTGCGTTCGTGGAATAACTAGGGAGTTTACGAAACCACGACGGCAACGCGGTAACGGGAACGTCACTGAACAAAAGAATTCATGCGCAAAACAATGGCTGTGCACGTGCGTTACAATTTAATTATAATTCTTGGTACATTTCTTTGCCGTCCTTTGCAAGACAACAACATGAAATGACCAAATTTTGCGTTGTCTGGAGAACGTGAACCACGACGGCTAATATTTAAAATTTTTATTTCAAATTTATCGCAGTGTTCCGGATTTAGTTTTGCGATAATGTTGACAGTGATAAACCAAGTAAATGACTTAAGAGTATCGCGAGATTCGTAGGTAAAATGTAAATCTATTTTTTAATCGACGTTGTCTTCGGCGTCGCCGTCGTGGTTTCGTAAACTCCCTACTGTGAACTACCCCAAGCGATCTCGAGAAACTTTTTACAACACAAACGTGAGCAGTGAGAAGAGTTTTGTACTCAGGTGAACTACCATTACATTGATTAGATTCTGAGACTAGTTCTTTCAAGAGTGTATTAATCTATTAGTCAGAGCAGTTTTCACCTGTGAAAACTGGTTTCATTTCTGTACATGAGGGAGATTTTCTAGCCTGGATATCGCGGCGCGCCTTGAGACGTTTCGGGACTGGAACTGGAAAGAACAACCTATGGCACCCTGGGTAATGAGGTTCAGAGTTCTAACCAACCTGTCTCCTGGGACACATCCTTGGTGAGAAGTTCAATAATGGCTGTGGAACACTCCAGTGCAACGTCCTCTTGTATCTGATAACAGCATTTTGGGAAAAAGACGAATTAAGCAATTGCCACTCATAGTAGACTGAAAACCAGAACTGTTGTTCTCCCCAATCTCACTCAAAATTTTTTCATTCACGTTCCGGACCTTATAATATACCACTTACTGCCCAGGTACGAACCGTTTTGCAGAACTCTAGGTCAGATTGTTTTTTCATGATCCTAGCAGTATGCGCGACGCATGTCACATAAGAAAACCCGGGTGGACTCCGACCTTTTTTTGTCCCATGCTCGAAAAACTGAAAATCTGCTTAAACAAATGGGTCTGACAATGTTATATGCGTTGCTGTACAGTTTTGTAATCTATAAACTAAGGAAAAAGATCGTCTATACCTTAAATCTAGCAATATTTGAAGCTAACGCCGCTCCCACATTTTGAAGTTCGCCATCTTTGCTGAGAAGACAATTAATGGTGACAGCAAGCAGTGGCGTGGAACGATGGTCTTTCAACATGGCTGAGTGGCCTGTCTGATGGCTGACAGCACAGCAAAACTACAACACAAAAGAAACAAAAAACTCAACTAAGGCAACGAATCTAATAATGATTTCACCAACATGTAACTTAGGAAAACTGTATTTGATGCAATGGTGGTGGGTTCGAATCCCGTTCAGAGCTTCAAAATTTTTTCAGGTCTTTTTTTCCAGTTATATAGTGTTATGGCTGCATTGGCATCTATTATCATGTATTTGATGCACATGGTGAACAGTGGCTCTAATGTAACAAAATTCTAGACTTCAAGTCCTACACTCCTTGTTTGCTCTGTAAGTCTTTGAGAAAAAAATAAACTAAAAACACAAAGAGAAAAGATAGAGCGGGAAAATAAGAGCGTGGATAGAAAGGTGCAATGGCCTGATACAATACTTTTAGCCTGTTGGATCAAGCGGTCCTGGTTCGTGCCCT